AGTGCTAACACTGGAAAAAAAGGAGCATTGTGGCCGTTGCCCTGGGCCGGCCCTGCGGGGACTACGGCGCCCATCGTGCTGGAGGCGGAGGGGGGCGGCCGGGCGCCGTGGGGGGCTCGGGCCCCCTCCGCCGCCAGCCCCGCCTGGGCACTCGTTGGGGCAGGTTCCCCCGTGCGGCGGACCGGAGGGGCTCTCGGTCGGGGCCGCCCCTGGAGCCCCCAAGACGGCCGGGGCCATGGCGGGGGCCCTTGTGGGACGGGGGGGCGCCCCGCGGCCCATCTTGCTTGTCCTGTACATTTGTAACGATTAAAGATGTGAGCAACCGGACCGGCTCTGCGCTTTGGGGCGACGGCTGCGGCCGTGGGGCTGGTGGGGGGGGGGCTGGCTCGCCGAAACCCTCTGAAGGTCGCCCCGCCTTCCGGGCTCTCGGGCACGCTCACAAAATGGCTGCCCTGCCCGGCCACCGGGCACCCATAGCCCCGAAGGCCGGGGGAGGGCGCCCCAAGAAGGGGGCCTGCCCCGGATCAAGGCCCGACGCGGCCGTGGGCCCCCAAGCGCGGGAACCCGCAGCCGCCTCCGTCGAGCCGCCTTTTTCAAGCTGCGGCTCGGCTGGGGCGGGCCCTGGAGCATTCTGGGAAATCAAGATGGCGCAAGCGAGGCGCACCTTCCACTGTGCGCTAGACGACGGATCCTGGATATATTTTTTTCAAGCAACTCAAGGAAATAAAAATTAGGAGGGGCAGGCACTTCTACATTATGCTTAGCGGCACAACGGCGCAGGGTCCGGGATCAAACGGCCAGCGGTGGAGCGACCGAGGAATTGGCCCTGGGGGAACCTTGAGGACTAGACCCTTACTCCCAGGGGCAAAGCCAAACCTCAGTGCTGGAGCGCCTGCTTCGCATTCCCAACAAAAATCTCTTTTCTGTCTTGGGAAGAACAATTTCTGACCCGAATTCCTGGAGGGTCCAGTCCTACCCCCCCCCCCCCACCCAGGTCACCCCAGCCGCTTCTCTCTGCAGAGACGGCCAGCCGGCCAACCGGCGCTGCGCTGGGGCAGCAAAGACGCGGCTCCCCCCAGATTTCCGAGGAGGCACCGGAGGCATTTGCAGTCTTCGATCGTGCTTTATATAGAAAAATACAGATATTTTGTCGCGTAGGAAAAAAACGAGGCCCCCGCCACCAAGTGAGGATGCCGGCTCCTCTGGGTGCGTGCAGCCTGGGGGTCTCGGGGCTGGGCTCCCTCGGCTCGAAGAGCGCAATTCCCAGCGGGAGCGCAATTCCCAGCATGCCCAGCCGCCGCCCGGATCTCACTCGGTGTCACTGGAGGCGTCCGGCAGAAGCGGCAGCCGGTGCTGCCGGACTCGCTTCTTGCGCCTGCCCTGCACAGCGAGGAGGCGGCGTTTGATGACGGCTGCGGAGAAGAGGCGGCGTGAGGGGGGGGGTAGATGTGGGGGGGGGCCAGGGGTCATGCCGTGGCTCCCCTATGTGGACCCTGCCCCTCATGAAGCAGGGAGGCCCCAGCACTGCTCAGTGGGGAAAGGGCGGGAAATTTTCAAAAGTAACTGCCCGGAAAGGCCACCGCCGTTTCCAGCTAAATCAGGAACCATGAGGACTAGAACCTTCACTTTCCCTTTTAAGGCAAAGGCTGGGACACGACCCTGCCGATGCCTCTGCCGCTCTGCAGAACTTTCTGTCCAGAGCCATCTGACGAAGCTGCCCGGCAGACCCCCGGCCTCTTTCATGGGGACGGGCAACCAGGCAGGGCTTCCCCCCACTTTCTGGCGAGGGGGCCCTGTGCCCCTCCCACACCCTTGGGCCAGGACTCCCGGGCACCCGAGCCGGCCCTGGGCCAGCAGCCGGGCCGGCGGGCCAGGGGGCGGGGTACTCACCGGCCACCGTCTCTTGGCCCTCCTCGCCGCTCGCCGGCCAGTAGAGGCTCCGTCCGCGGTGGCACCGGCGATGGAGCCGCGTGCAGAGGACGGCCAGGGCCAGCACCACGAGCAGGAAGGTGAGGGCGCTGGCCGCCCAGGCCGCCTCGGCCGTGCGGGGCGTGGGGGCCCGCAGCCCCGCCTGCCGCTGCCCCTTCCCCGGCTGCTGCGGGGCCTGGCCGGGGCCTCCGTCCGGGCAGTGGCAGCTGGGCCCCCGGCCGCCCGCGGGGGGCCCGGGGAGGCCCCAGGGGGCCGTGGCGTTCAGCCGGGCCCGCACGCGGCCGTCCTCCTCCGCGGGGTCCTTCTCCGGCAAGCTGAGGGCCGCCGGGGGCAGGGGGGTGCCCGGGCCGGCGCCCACCAAGTCCTGGCCGTCGCGTCCGCCCACCGGCGCCCGCAGCCGCCGGCCCAGCCACGGAAGGGCCCGCCGCGGCCCGCCGGGTGCCCGCGGCGTCCAGGCGCCGTCCCCGCGCCGAAGCCGCTCCTGGGAGACCTGCAAGCCGGAGGAACATCGGGCTGACCCTCCTCGGCCTCCATGGGACCCCCCCCCCGTTGCTCCCCGCTGCCCTGGCTCCCTTCAGTCCCCACAACAGTCCTGCAAGGTAGGCCAGCCAGGAGCAAGCCGCCCACGGTCCTCTGGGGGGCTCGGGAGCCAAAGAGGGCCCTGAAGCTGCCCCGTCCCGCCCGCTCGCCACTGGCAGCCTCCCCCTGCTCCCGGCGTAGGGCCCGCAAAAAAGCACCCACTCTGGCCCGACTCCTAGGGACCCCGGGTGGCTGGGCTGCAGTGTGAGCCCAAGGAGCATCCTGGGGGAACTCGGGACGCAGACTCCCAGGATGAAAACGGTCCTTTACGTTGGGGTGTGTGACTTGTGGCCATCCTGGGGCCTTGGCCTACAGATCCCATCATCCCTCACCTGCTGGCCAGGGTCGATGCCACAAGTTGCCGGCCCTGCTTTCCCGCCCCCCCACTGCAGCTCTTGCAATCCTTCGGCATCTCGAAAGCAGGTATTTTGGGACATGCCGGTGGCCAACTCTGCCATTACGGCACATCCAGCTTGCTGAAGAGACCTGTGTTGCTCAAAAGCCTACACACTAGGCTTGGAAACCTAGTGGGTCTTCATTGACTTTCTTAGGCCGAGAGGCACCCTCAAATTAGCCCCGCTGCCTCTCCCCAAAGCGTACCATCGGACTGTGGGGCCTGTGCTGCTGAGGCCAGAGGTCATTCTCCCCATAAGGTGCCCCGAACCGGCGGTGGGGTCCACTGCGGAAAAACACAACAGGGATCTTCAGTGCCCGGCACATAACACTTCCAGCCTGCCTTGATCTGCCCAGAATGATGATTTCAGGCTTACTCCCAAAATGTGCAGCCGCTAAGCAATTCCTGAAAGAGGCAGAGAAAGATCCCACCCAGGAAACAAGCAGGGGCAGCAGCAAAGCCTCCAAGTTTTCCACTTTCACAGGACGCTTCAGCAGGAAGAACGCTTGCAGGGCCATGCAAAAGCCGTCCCATTTCTCGTGCGGAGAGGAGCTATCCTAGCAAGGCACAGAACGCCACGGGCTCGCCCAACTTTCCAGGGACTGCGAACCGCATCCTGCCGGCTGAGGATGATGGGGGTTGTAGTCCGACCTGCCCCGAGGGCACCACACTGGGGAAGGCTAGAATAAGATGCCGCCCCCTCCCTCCCTCCAGGTGAGATGGGCATGGCTTACCTGTGACCACCGGCAACACCCCAGGGCAAAACTCTCTTGCTCTCGCTCTCCTGGAGACCCACCTTGCTCTCCTGGAGGGGGGGGGGAGGCAATTAGTGTGGGCGCCGGGGCCCCCGCCCCGGATTTTCGGGCCAACCCCCCCCCCAACCTGCCCCTCCAGGCTCCCGCCAGCCGTGCCCTCTTCCCAGGGTACCGTTCCGACTGCCTCTCTTCATCTTTCCGGCACCCCTTGCCCGGGCCCGGCGGCTCAGCCCTGCCTTGAGCTGGGGGGAAGGGCTCTTTGGGGGGCTTTGTGGGAGGCAGCTCTTTGGGGGGGCTTTGTGGGGGGCAGCTCTGTGGGGGGGGCTTTGCCCTATTGAATGGCTGCTTCATTCGCAGCCATCTCGTCCCCGCACGTCGGACCTGCCAGCCCTTGGCCCCGCGTCTCCAGCGCGTGTGAGTCGCCCACCCGATGCCCTGCACTGCAAGGCCCATCCCGGCCCAGGACCATGGGGCCCGCGCCGCGCGCAGCCGGCCCGGGGCTGCCACTGGGGCACTTTCCCATTGGCCCCGGGCTCGGGGGAGGCGGGCCGGGCCCTGTGGGCAGCCAATGAGGAGCGTGCCAGGGCAGCGGCCGCCTCTTCTGGGCAGGGAAGGGAAGCGGCAGAGGAAGGGGGGCAGAAGGGGGGCGCGGGAGGGGCGGAGGGGGGCCAAAGGGGGGCGCGGATCGGTGCGGGGCCGCGGCCCGCACGGCCCGGCGTCGCATCACCGCTGCGAAGGGCCCCATGGTCCTGGGCCAGCATGGGCCTTGGAGTCCAGCCCACGTGCGCTGCTTCACGCGGGGAGAAGGGGGGCGTCGCGGAGCTCGGGGGGCTGGAGGACACGCCGGAGAAACGCTCCCTTTCTCACGAGGCGGCTGCACGTGCAGGACACCGAGGAGCCTTCCGAGGGGGCGGGACTTCTGCGGGTCAAAGGCCACCCCCCCCGTGGAGGACGCTGGGAGTTGTAGGCCTGTTTCCCTGCCGAAACAGGCGCAGGAAACCACCTTAAATCGCTTTGTTTTTATTGCCCCAGCCGGCCAGGGAGCGCCCGAAGCAGCCCCGCGTCACTCGAAACGTCTGCACGGCGGACCGTTTCTTGCTAATGCAAGGAAAAGTCGGCACAGTTTGGCCGATGGCCAAACCGATGTGCAGAGGAAACCCCAACTGAGGCGAAATACCACCAAGGAAACCCACAACCGAGCCATTAGCAGGCACATTTAAGACACAAAGTCAGAATGGTGACAAGAAAATACCACAAGAACCCAGGAAGGACTTAAAAATAGACCAAACCCAGCTTGCTACAGGCCTAATACCCTTTAAGAAAAGGGAAAGGGAGAGTGTTTGCAACTGCAGGAAAAAGCACACGGAGGGAGCAATGCTGCAGGCCAAGAGAGGGGCTTCCACAGCCACAGAGAGGGCCCGTTCACACGATCGAACAAGTTTCTAGCCCTCATGGTTCATAATGACATGCTCGAGAGCGCGCGAGTCACTCCAGCAGAAAGGAAAGGAGCTGCGTGGCCCCGCACCGCACGCCTGGGCTCTCCCGCCCTCCGGAAGGCCAGCCACGTGGGGGCCTTTGAAGGGTCCCACGGCGACACCGAGTGACCCCGCGGCGACGGGAGACGCACCCACCACAACGGCGGCCCCTTCCCCCCGCTGCACGCCGCGCCCCGCCCCCGAAGCAGCCCGGCGGGCTCCTCCGGCGAGCGCCAGGACCCCAGGGCTCCGCGGCCCTGCCGCGCAGTCCCATCAGCCCCACCCACCCTGCCGCGGAGCATGGGAGCGGCGCTCCACCGGGGGCCGGCGTGACGCGCCGCTGGCGACTCCCCTCACCCCGGGGCCGCCCGGCGCCCCGCCCGGCCCACGCCCGGCCCCCGCGGCCCCCTCACTTCGCCGGCGCCTCCGGGCGCGCCGCTCCCCGCCAGGCTGAGCAGGACGAGCAGGACCGGGGCCCCCGGCGGCGGCTCCCCCAA